GTGAAGGGGGGACTGAGGACTCTGATGTGAAGGGGGGACTGAGGACTCTGATGTGAAGGGGGGCTGAGGACTCTGATGTGAAGGGGGACTGAGGACTCTGATGTGAAGGGGGACTGAGGACTCTGATGTGAAGGGGGCTTTTAATGTGAAATGGGGCTCCTGATGCAAAGGGGGGCTTGTCATGTGAAGGTTAAACTCTGATGTGAAAGAGGGGGTGCTGATGTGAAAGGTGGAGGCTCTGAATTGAAGGGGGCTTCTAATGTAAAGGTTGGCTCCAGGATTGAAGGTTGACTTGATGTAAAAGGGGGAACCCCGCTATTTTTTTTTGTTTATATCTCTTTATTCAATTTTTAACAATTATACAAACAGACAAAATACACATAACCACATTCAACATACTCCAAGTGGTACAATACGTTAAATATAAAAATATATAAGCAGCATAATTCTATTATTCTGATTATTTAATAACCACTCCACATTCATTCCAGGCCTGGCCTGCCCCCCCTTATTTCCTTCCTTCATTTTCCATGTTCACTCCCAAACATAATCTCAAAGATAGTCTCCCACAGTTACATATACAGTACATATATACACACATACATACATACATGCATACCTACATATATATATATACATATAGACATTTACATAATCGACCAGCTAAGCATTACATAATATCTCCTAGCTCAAAATATATTGTAGCACTAAATAATCGGGTGCTAAACCTGGTGTAGAAAGCCACACATTCCACATTCTAAAGAATTGTGTAGGTCTTCCCCTGTGTTGGTACACCAATTTTTCTTTAAACAGCAATAAATTAACCTGGGTACGCCATTCACCAATAGTGGGGGGGTTAGAAGACATCCACCTCAAGGCTACTCATTTTCTTGCTACAAAAAGAAGCCGTATTACTAAAGAGAAAATTTGCTCAGGATATTCGTCTTCAACCATTAGATTCAGTAAACATATCCTAGGATCAGCCAATCTGACCCCCCCGCTATTTTTTAGTTTTTGTGTGGTGTCCCCCCTTTAAAATCCATTACATTTTAGACTGGGGTGCCTCGAGAGAAGCGCTGTGTTAGGTTACATTGCAAAATTGAAGTACTAAGTTTCAGAATTAGGTTGGGTTTAGAGTAGGGGGTCAGGGGAGGGTGTGTCATTTAAGTGTTATGATAAAGTGTGTTATGATAAAGTGGAACTCCAGCCAAAACAATAAAATAAAAGTGAAGAGCTCATTCAATCATAAAATAATGAAAGCAGCTTTTGCTGTAATATTCACCTTCGGTCCAGAGATTTCCCCCACAGTACTGTTTTTCTGCTAGATGTCCAAGATGGAGACTCTCATAGTTTAAAGTTAGGACCGCACTATATGGAGGTGCCTTGACGTGGCTGTGCGGCTTTCACATTTTCTGCAGAAGATGTGTATCTAAACCTCTGCTTTTAACCTTAGTGGTTAGACAGGTTTTTTTGCATGCTGGCTCGTGAGTGTGTCGGGAAACTTTTTGCTGTTTTACTGTTTGAAGCCCTTCCGTGTGCACCGTGCTGTAAAGCTGGTAATGAATTGATGAGTGTGTTTGCATTTGTGTTGAAGGACTGGGTTCAGACCCAGCTCAATCCAAACCTGAGCTCATCCCTACTCAACACTACAGCTGATGTGGAACTACAAGTCCCATGATGCAATGTAAGACCCTAACTAACACAGACATGACTCCCAGATGCATGATGGAATTTGTAGTTCCATTACAGCTGGAGTGGTTACCAACCCCGTGGGAATATTGATTGAAATGATTGCTCTGCTGACTGGGGACTCTTTTAACTTTTAGAATGCACTGTTCATTGATCTGGCTCTAGTAAACTGAAATCTGATTGGCTGATACGGGTTATTTCCTCTTGTATCATATTCTCATTTCTCTTTGAGCTGCTTGCTTTATAAAACAATAAAAAAAAGGCCAGTACTCTAATTTCTCAGTGCTATGCAAACACTGAGTTTCTAAAACCAAATACAAGAAAACATAATATTTTACATTACATAGAAATAGTAACAATGATTCTGTTGTGCCAAAGGCAATCGTGATGGTCAATGCTGTGTCTCTGCTCAGATATTTCCATAGCTCAGAAATGTGAATGAATATCAGTAATCCGTATTAATGCAATGTCATTTCACATCGGTGCTATTACATGTGTTTATTCAGACCCCCTACATCAAACTCCTTGTTCCAATCTGTCTGCTGCGCTCATCTCTTAAGAGGGGTTAACAGTGGAGAAGACTCATCCCCATTCTGTGCCAATCACCTGAGTGTGAGAGATACACAGAGAGAGAGAGAGAGAGATAGAGGGAGAGCGGGCGAGCAAGAACATCTCTCCAGCAAGCTGGCCTCATCTTCCAGCTGTGGGCACAGAATCTGACGGAGCGAAACGGAGACTGGGAAAGCCCCGAGCAACACGATGAAGAGGTACCAAGAACATCATCTGCAGCAGGTAGGCAACAGGCTTCATATGACTAAAGCCATAAACCTAGAAGGACTCAGCCGTCCTCTAATTCTATTCACTCCTCAATTCAGGAAACACTATTTCCTCAGAATTCTAAATACAATCCAGCAGGCAAGAACCTGTTGTACACAGGAATGCAAATCTTTACAAAGGGAAATAAAAGAATGGCTTTATAATGAATGGAATGGCTACCTAGAGAAGGCAGAGGGAGTAATGTGATTGGATTTATTGGGAAGGTAATCTAAGGGCAGACATTGTACGGGAGGATAAAGAAATGAAGTGCAAAATGTTGTTCTTTCATGTAGTGTGAGCGAGCGCTGCTGGTTTTTATCTTTGCTTCATGGTTTTTTTTCTGCTAGAGTGGCTGAGGGACAAAAAACAAATGATCTTCTCAGTATGGGAGACTTCTTCTCCATTAACCCCTTTTGTACAGGGAACATTAACTAGTATAATATTATATAGGCAATGGTTCTGGCAAATCTATCCATCCATCCATCCATCTATCTATCTATCTATCTATCTATCTATCTATCTATCTATCTATCTATCTATCTATCTATCTATCTATCTATCTATCTATCTATCTATCTATCCATCCATTATCTATCCATCTATATATCCATCTATTTATCTATCTATCTATGTGTGGCCATCAACGAATGAACATGAAATAGCAAATAGGATTTAGGCTGTGCCAGAAAAATCATAAAGGCCAGCTTCACAATTATATGTTGCAGTAACACGCATGTTCATGTTTTAATATATACTACTCTACACTGTTGTATGCTACATAAAAAAAAGAAAAAAAAAAGTGCATGTTCAATTTTATGTGCATTGTGGTGCATTAGCAGCTTACGTGAATGTGCTGCCCTAATGCAATGCACACGAATGTGTGCCAATCTGCACATGCGTTAAGGTACTGCATTAGAATGACCAATGTGAAGGCAATTGGCCTAATTGATTGACTTTGGCAACCAACGCTGAAATTTAGTGAGAAAAAATTATAGTAAGAACATAGCAATTGTTTAAAGCCCCCTCCCCCCCCCCCACACACGCCTGCTCTGCTTGTCTTTGCACAAAGACACACAGAGCGCACATGTGACAACCTGGTACGCACCTGAGCTCCTCCAAACCTGGAAGGAGTTCCTCTCTATTAAGCTACTGGCAGGGAATTCCCCACCTCCAGCTTGACGTAAGCAAGGGGTTGGGATGCAGTGAGTTAATTGACCTTATATGGCTATATGCCTATATTTGGTAAATTATGGTACATTTACCTAACATAGCTATGTGGCCATATAAGGTAAATTACATCACCATAGGCATCCTTTGTTTACATGCCCCTTTGTTTACATGCAGCTGGTTGGTGGGGAATGACTGGCCCCCAGCTGACTGTGCCCATGGTACTTCTTTGTTCGGAGGAGCTCAGGTGTGAACAGGGTTCAGTCCGAACTCAAGCTCATCCCTAGTCGTTAGCCATTTTAGTAGCAGATATACTAAAAATCACTCATATAGCTCTAGCCTTACAGTTTATCATCTATTGTGTGCTGGGGTCTTGGTATTTGGATCTTTTTGTTGCAGAGAAGGGTTATGTGAAATAAACAGACCACGCACATTTATTTCGTTTTTTGATTGGGTTGATGCTTTAATACGGCTTGTATCGGCCGCTGCATAAAGGAGAAATATGAGGTGAGTGATTTCCACTCATAGTTAGAGCCAACCTGTGACAAAAAAACTGTCACAGGTCAGCTCTATTGATCGGGAAGTGAGCAGAAACATGCACTAATCAGCTAACTTCCCGATCGTCTCCCTGCAGTGAGCGGTGACTGTCAGTCACCGCTCCCTACAGGGATTCCCCCCTCCCCTCTCCGATCCTCCAGCAAAGAGGAACAAACAGGGGAGGGCAAAGTTGGCTCTGCCTCTAGATAGGCAGAGCCAGCTGTCATTCATGCAGTTGGGTGGATCTCAACAGTATTGTCGGGATCCGTCCCAGCTGCAACGTTCTCAGTAATATACTGAGCTTTGGGTCACGGGAGGAGGTTAGTATATGTCCTCCTGTGACCCTAAAGAGAACTATGGGGAAAAACACTTACCCCGTAGTTCTCTTTTAAAACATTGTACTTTTCAGAATAAACATTTAAACGTACACATAACAAATCCCTTTGCGATACTGAACGGTGCTTCCCTAAGTTTTACCATGCATCAAGCTCCATTTATGGAGCCATTTCAGCCATGAAACTTAGATTCAAAGGCCAAAATGGGCTTCCTGCTGCCAACTCTGATCAAGTTCCTACTGAAACCAACAAAATAGCCAAGGTAGAACACTAGCAATTAACCTGGAAATAACACCAGTCCATCAACCACCTTCAACTCAAACCGCAAAGGGTTTCTGCCAGCTGTGATAATAACCTTCCATGACAAAGAAAAATTAGGTTGCCTCCCCATCCCCAGCACCTATATGTATACTGTACAGTATATCCTTAGCCAATGTATGTGTCTCCTTGCCACCCTGCTACCATAGCTTGTGGTAATTCTAACCCAAACTAGTAAATATTCCAAAATGGAAGGCTGGGACTTTTCCATTAATAATTTTTAGACCGAGATAAATGTTTTCCAAGGTGGAACAATGTCGGCCTCAGTCCCCTCCTTACTTAAGTCCCCTCCTAAACAAGCCAATCCAAGAATTTCTCTTCATAAATATGCTCCCACCTCCCCTCATATATTCATTTTATACTGACTAGAAGCATGTTTCCAAAGGAACTTAGGCTCCAATTATGATGCCTTCTGTGTTAAGAACATAGGACGTCTCTGAAGGGTGACAATGCTCTAGCATTTTCCCTCTGTTACAGGTAATCTAAGAGGCGCTCCAGAAACTAGCAGGATTAACAGGTAATCAGAACACAAAGCTAATACAAAGACTGCTAGGCCCTGCAGCAGAGCCAAATCATCCACAAGGCAACCTAAGCAGAAGCCTAGGACTTGGTGGATGTCCAGGGGCCCAGCTACAGTCTTCATTCTCTTGCAGTAAACCAGAGTGATAACCCCATTGGTCAAAGCCGTGCACCTGCCTGTCACTTCACAAGGGAGGATGTACTTATAGGCAGTTGGAGTCTGATGGGCCCATGCCAGTACAGTTACAGTCCAAGGGGTGTGGTGGTAGTGGAGGGGCAAAGCTTTAGTAAAATGGAGTTCTGCTTTAAGTTTACATAAGAGAAGGTTAGTATTAGAATTAAAGGGAAGGTAAGTGTGAGGGTAACTTTTAGGGTTACAGAGAGGGTAAATGCAAAATAGCAGGCTATTGCTCTGCACTAAAAATGCTCTCTATGCAATACAGGCATATCACGGCTGGTGAAAGGGGCTGACAGGGTGCCTTCAGCCCTGATGCAATCAGTGGGCTAGCTCTTTAGAGGAATTATACAAATATCCAAATGCCTTGATGGGTAGATGTCAGTGTGGAGGAGTGGGTATTCCTAGGCATAACTCTTTTGCACCTAGAAAGCACCTAAGACCACCTAAGAGAACGCCCAGAAAAATGAAATCCATCTAATGAAAGGGGTTGGCCAAGGACAGTAAGGACTAAGGAAAGAGCTGGATGATGCTGGATGTCCTCCAACCAGGAAATGAGGTGGGTTATATTCGTTTTGCTGCAATTTCTAAATTACACAGTGAGAGTCTCAAAGATTGCAATGAAATCAGAGTAAGCTATTTCAGTAAAAAAGAGGAGTCTGTACAGCTGTGAAGGACTGAAGGTAAGGTAAGTTAGAATGCAGCTTTAATGTATAAGGTTACATATTGTCATAGTATTGTTTGCCAGGTCAGGACCAGTAAAATAAGAAAATGTTTAGTTTAAAATAGCATTTGATTTGAGCTCTGAAGGATGTGTGCTTACAAGCACCGATAATGGAAAAGTGGCCCTGTGAATATAGCCACCTTTATAGCAGCGTAAGATCTGCACTGTCCTAATTTCTGAGCCTGCTATGATATTTGATTCCATTATGGGTGACATTTCCATCACTGTCATACACTTAATGAAAAGATTGCTGCAGGTCAACCATACATGGATAACGTTTTTTCAGCAAAGCAACACGTGTAGGGGTTCACATATAATCAGTAACGAAGACAATAATGAGCTGAAGAACATTTCTGTGAGTGATACGTCTTTCAGCTCACTGTTTTCTTTATCAGTATAAGTGAAATTAAATGCATTATGCTACCAACAAGAAAAAATGTGTGGTTTTTTTTCAAATCTGGCAATGATCCAGGGGTCGCATGTACAACTTCCAGCTATATAAACTTAGGGCTAGTTCAGCCCTACTGAACCTACCATTGTATGGTCAGCTTAAAAGATGAGCATGGCCAAACCTTTTTATCGGCTATAGAGTAGTTTTGGGTCATAAGAGGACATTTACTAATGTCCTCCTGTGACCCAAAACTCAGCATACAGCAGGTTATTGCCCACTATATGCTGACAGTGCAGAGCCTCGCTGCAGTCGGGAAAGATACCAACAATATTGTCAGTATCCATCCAGCTATGTGATTGACAGCTGGCTCTGCCTCTCCAGCTGTGCCCGTTGCCTCCCCTGCCTGTCCCTCCAGTCAACATTGAAGGAATGGAGAGGGGGGGGGGGACCCTCGGGGAGCTGTGTCTGCCAGTCACCGCTCTTTGCAGGGAGATAATGGTAAAGATTAAAGGTTTGTGATTGCTCATTTCTGGATCTATAGATTCAACGTTGACAGCTTCAGTGTCACAAATCGGCTCTAACTATGAGGAGGAGTGCATTTCACTCTCCCCATAATTCTCCTTTAAATTGATCCTTCACTACATTACAATGACACAAAGTTGCATTATTGACAATACACAATGTTTTCATCATGTGGTTTGAAAGACAAATTATTTTTTTTTGTTGGCTAAAAGATTGTTTTAATGCTTTGGAGGATTTATTCTTTCAAAAATATGTTTAGCGTCCTGTCTTTACTTTAATGCAGGACAT